ATCCGAGAAGGTGGACTATATGAAGAAGAACGTGGCATTAGGATTGGAGAAAGAATCATTAACAACCTGCGATACACTGACAAAACAACTTGGCTTGCTGAAAGTGAGAATGACTTGAAGTACTTACTGATGAAGGTTGAAGAATACAGTCTGCAGTATGGATTACATCTCAATATAAAGAAAACAAAAATCCTCACAACTGGTCCCATAAACAACATTACGATAAATGGAGAAAAGATTGAAATTGTCAAAGACTTCACATTACTTGGTTCTACAGTTGACACCAATGGAAGCAGCAGTCAGGACATTAGAGGATGTAAAGTGATGGGCAAATTGACTGCAAAGGACCTCTTTCAAGTGCTGAAGAGCAAAGATGTGTTCTTGAGGACTAAGGTGCACCTGATACAAGCCATGGTATTTTCAATTGCCTCAAACGCATGTGAGAGCTGGACAATGAATAAGGAAGACTGAAGAAGAATTGATGGTTTTGTGCTGTGGTGTTGGCAAAGAATGCTGGAAGTACCGTGGGCTGCTAAAAGAACAGGTCTGTCCTGGAGGAAGTGCAGCCAGAATGCTCCTTGGAGGTGAGAATGGCCAGACTTTGTCTCACCTACTTTGGTCATGTTGTCAAAAGGGACCATTCCCTGGAGAAAGATGTCATGCCTGGTAAGGTGGAGGGTCAGCGAAAGAGGGGAAATCCCTCAATGAGATGGATTGACATGGTGGCAACGGCTATGGGTTCAAGTATAGCAAGAATCATAGAGCTGGCTCAAGACCAGGCGGTGTTTTGTTTTGCATAGGGTCACTATGAGTTGGAGAGACTTGACAGCACCTAACAACAACAACAACAACCACTCTCAAAACAAGACTTGGCAATCTACTTCCATAAAGTTTTACCACCTTGGGAGTAGCAATTGGGATCTTCAAAGCTTTTAAGCAGCCATCTAGATGCAATAACAGGTCTCTCCTCATTCAGAGCAAATAAGAATGAAGGAAACCAAAGATGCATGGAAACAATTAGTCCGCGGGACTGGTACACCATGCAGTCCTCAGTCTATATGACTATGAGACCTGAAGATCTAGATGGTGCCTGGTTATCACTGTCAACCACTCAGAGGGGGATCTATGTAGGAGATCCTGGATAGAGTGGGAGAACAATGTGGAACAAAACTCAAAATCATTAAAAAAAAAAA